AAAAAAAAAAAAAAAAAAAAAAAAAAAAACAAGAAGAATAGACTTTGTTATTGTTCTGTAGAGAAGGAAAAGTGGTGTATAAAATATTTGATGATTTGTAAGGGCTGGACTACGTGCTTGATTTTCGCTGCCAAGCTTCATCCGTTTTTCGGCTTTCTTCTTTCATGTATGGGATTATAGTGGTTAAATATCAACTAAGATTATCGTTTAACGTGACTTTACTTAGTGGGAAGGACATCTGCGTATTATGCCGTTCTAAAGACACGTAGTAACTGTGAGGTATCCATAGAATGAAATGTTAGTAGAGTACAATTTAGAATTCGAGCGTGTCGTAAGTGAGGTTTCTAAAAGTTACGGGAAGAGTTGGGATCATGCGTAATAGCTTGTGTCTTTTATGTCAGTTTGAGGTAAGCATTAGGGGAAGAGTTAAAACTATCTTTTGTTTCTGGATACTCGTGCACTAGACGACGCCAGATGCACCGTAGTAGGAAACTTATACTGAAATGAAATATTAACTTGAAGAATTTCATATCGTTTGAGAATGCTTTATACTACTGCTCATGCTGCATTTATTTATCGCGTCGGAGATGTGCAGAATTTATGACAATTTTGTTTACGTAGCTTGATGAATTAGAAAACATTGTTGGTTTTATTTGCAAAGTTTTTTTTACCTTTCCAGACTTTTTGGGGTTTTTTTTGGGATTCGAGTTGCTCTTCTAATGAAATTTTTCTTTCCTTTTCCGCTTTTAGTCCTTTGTCAATGACCAGTTATTTTTCGCTTTGCAAACTTAATAATTAGAACGTTTGTCTTTAAAACAATGATATTTTATGGTCAGGATTTCATGTATTATTTTTGGGTGATCTCTCTTCACGGATTAGAAGTGTTTAAAGATACCTAATGTTATGTAGAATGGCAAATGAAGTTTTTTTACCTACTTCCAAAAGAAACGGATTGGGTAGGACGTGACCTAGCCGATAATCATGAAAGTCAAAGTTCTCTTCACTTTGCAGGCTTCATTATGGAAGGTACTTCTAAGGTAGATGGTCAACTCAGTTGGATTTATGAAGGAACAAAAGCCATTGTCAATCGAGAAGATTATCTTCTTGGAAAAAGGGTATGTCTTTTCTAGA